AACACAGAAAACCTAGTCCTCCCATCTCTAAACCAAATTTGATCCTGAATAAGGAGAATGTTGTGTCTATGGTGGGGAATTCAAGGACCAGTACATTATGAACTTTTAAAACCAAACAAAAAGCTCCATTCGGAGAAGTACTGTCAGCAATTAGACAATTTAAAGACAGCAGTCCAAGAAAAGAAGCCACCAATGTTCAATAGGAGATATCATACTGCATCATGATAATGCCAGGCCACATGCTGCTTTGGGAACTGTAAAAAATCTGGAGAACCAGGCTGAGAAGTTCTGTCGCATCCATAATTTTCCCGGAATTAGCACTCTCCAACAATCACTTGTTTTTGTCTTTACAAAACTTTTTGAAGGGCAAAACATTTAAAAATGAAGAAGATATCAAAAGATACAACATTTTTCAAAAATGGGACATACAAATTGTCCTCAAGTTGGCAAGAAGTCATTAATAATAATGGCAATTATGTTATTTAATAAAGTTTATTGACAGTAAGAAAAATTTGTATTTTGCGTTATTCCAAAAACGGACAGAACTTTCCGGTAAACCGAAGTAAATCCTTTGACAGATTTTTATATAATTATTCTTATACTGCGGCATAATTCTTAAACATCTCTACCTCTTGCAGACGTATCGTTTGTTAAATTGAATTGATTCTGTTGAGAAAAATTCATTTTGAAACCTCATTACTCATATTCACGTGAGACTTATATGGCTTTTTCCCTTTTGTGATCTTAACCGTTTACAGGGAAGTATGCATTTTTTTTCCTGGAGTGGTAATAATAATAATAGTAATTATTATTATTATGATTACTTGTCTGCAGCCGGCTGTCTTACGAGAATGAAAATTTTGCTTAATAGGAGAGAAGCTAAAATATACCAGTCACATAAAGAAGTCACAGTCAGTCACTCATGATATCAATGAATCCCATGCTAATGATAAAATGACCCAATAGCGTCCGAGCGGCTAAGACCGCTGAATACTGATAGTTTGTACTGGGTTCGAACGTCGGCGAACAGGATAGCTGCATGGGTTTTTTCCGATTAGAAATGTGAATACAGTCCAGTTTTTCCTAGATTGTCCTTCAAAAAAGTATCTCTCATTTTAAGCGGAGAATCTGATATGCTTTGCTATAGTCAAATATCTAAATCTAATGTTTAAATTATTTTATGTAAGCCATTTCATAGGTTAAAAATAATATTGTTACGAAATGTACAGGCGTGGTAAGATAACTTTCCCCCGCAAAGCAGTTTTAGGGTTGCCATAAAATAGCAAGGAACGCAGGTTTGCCACATTTGGCGAGAAATCGCCCATTTGGCCACAAAATTAGCGATATGCCTTGGACGGATGGAGAACCTTCTGGAACGAATTCTTACCGGTTTAGCCCAGAATGTTCTCGAACACAAACCGAAAGCTATATAAAATCTGCTGATCCGCAGTCAGTGTGAGTGCCTCATCGAGAGAGCGAGTCAGAGCGTCTCATCTACTTAGTCCATCCGGAGACGATTGAGTTGACAGCCGGCCAGTGAGTGCCAAGTGGGTCGTCGAGTGCATCGAAGAGTCTCTTAGTATATCGTGGCTAGTGCATCGTCGAGAGAGTGTGTTAACCTCCGGAAACGACTGAACCGAAGTTTTGGGAGCTGTGCAATGCGTGTCGTCCAGTGCATCGCGAGTTGTAGCGTGGAGAGTCTTGAGAGCACGTGGAGTTCCAAGAACGACCGAGGAGAGTCGGAAGCTGTACTCTGGTGCTTTGCAGTGAAGCTGTCTCCACCGTTATTGCCTGACAGTGTGAAGGCTGTGTCGCTGATTGTTCCAGCGTGTTTTATAGATCTTCGACGACTGTAAAAAGTGACTTTGGAGCTGTCCTGATTAATATTGGCTAAATAAAGTGTGTTTCGATACTTCATCAAGTAGTGTTGTCATTATTCACTCCAAATCCACACAAGCCCCGTGTGCGAACATGAAGAAAGAAAAAAAAAAACAAAAAACGCAACGCTATGTTTATAGTCCAATACGCAAAAGCCGAGATAGCTGGTGTAAATTTGTACTACCTAAATTTGAATAATAAAATTAAATTTCACATTTATAGAATTCTTCCCTACTACTGCAGAGTACTGCTAGTATAGAAGCTGAACAGAATGTCCTCCAGACTGTATCAGACGGACAAGGAAGTTATCGCTCCAACCTGAACTCAAATGGCAAATCTTAAAAAAATTTAAATAACTTCTACATTGAACTCATTAAATTAACAGCAGACACCGCTTGAGATAAGGAGGAACTTCCGCTACTTGCGGGTATTTCAGATAACATGAGATAAAGTTAAATTCAAATTTAACTAATGTAGTCTGAGAATACAGGCACACGCCGCTCCCCAAAATCTAAAAGGTTTCAGATTTTTAATTATGTCCAAAGAGGCGTTTTATTAACATTTTTTCTGTTACCTTTATTTATTAACTATCACGTTCTTTTCACTTAAACCATAAAATTCAGTTCAAGAGCAATATCGCAAAATATTTTTAAATTGAGCATATCTTTTAAATTTCCGATACGCAGTCTCACGCGCTGGAGATAAAAATGTTTTTTCTGTACAACGTTGCCATTGCTCGCTTTGAAATCTTGAGTTTTTTAATCAAAAATTCGTTAAAGATTTACAAAATATGAAATCGAAATAAAACAAATTCCAAATTTGGACTTCCACAGTACCATAATCGCAATAGGATTACGTCATGCAAAATTCGATGGCTCTGTGTACCGTTGTTTTATCACAATGCAAGAAACATACATACATTTATGCAGATTCTTCATTATTTAATTTCTTCAAATATAATATTTGGTTGCAAAAGTTTGAAAAGTGAAACGGACATTTATAGTGAACCAACGCAAAATCGCAAAACGAAAACAATAGTCCTTCAGGGACAAAGCCTCTTTGGACTAAAAAGTACTTAAGCTGACTGAAAAGGTTAACGGCGCGTATTTTAAACGTCAGCTAGCAAGATTGCTGAAGCCAGAAATAAATTTGGTAGAGCTGGCGGTAGTTCGTAACTGCAATGAGTGGCTGCAGGAATCTATAAAACGCTCAGACCCTCGGCTTAAATACATAACTAATTTGCATTCTGGTGTGGACTACGGACAGAAAAAGTTAAAGGCTCAAACCATAATTACTGGTTAATAAACATAAAATCCTACATCATGCTGACACAGCTTTTATAAAATACACTGACTTATTTTGATTAACTTTTTAAAGAAGAATTCAGACTTAGAAGCAATATTTAAGAAAATAAAGTTTACCGTCACAGTTTTTTAACTCTCCATTGTCTAGATAATCTTATGATGATGCTTATTAATTTATGAATTATTTCAGGCCCGGATTTTGTTCAGTTCACATAATTATATCTGCAGTTGTATTACGAAATTTTTCTTGATGCTTATTAAAGCCTGGAAATCCTAATGAAAAAAATGGGTTGACTGAGCATAGCAGTGCAGTAATAGAGCTGAGTTCAGTATGGTAACCTAGACCATTCTGGACAAATTGAAATAGGATGGCAACCCTTTCAATAAAACTAAAGTTTAAATGAATTTTTGTATTCCGAAGCGAATAGAGAGAGAATATTTTCTGTAGAAGAATAATTACAAAATACATTCATAAATTTTACGGTATCGGATTTCTTACCTGTATATCAGACTTAATAGAGTTTATTCTAACCATTTTTATATTACGAATGAGATAGGCAGAGATTATAGCACTGCCCCCCCCTCGAATGCGAAGAAATGGAATACTCCAATGGGATTTCGGGTACCTGCGCACGTTCAGAGGTTTTCTGACTCTTGCTTTTTTTTATTTATGTTCAGTGTTCTGGAATTCATAAAGTTCCGAGTGTGTGTACATTCCATAAACGTTCGTTATTTTCATCGATTTTACAGTAGTATTAGATTTTCAAGATAATTTCAGCCGACCAGCGTCAATCCTTCCCGACCATATCAAAGATTAAAGGAAGAGAATTATCTTCATTTCTGTTTCTTTAAGTTTTATTTTTTTCCAATTTTGATTCCATATGAGTTTTAACTATTCTGGAAAAAATTTCCGTTTATTTGCATATCGCTTTCACTTTTAGATAAGACCTTTGTAAACAACATGAATTGGATACATAGTAGTGACAGCTCGTCAGTAGTTCTGAAAATGCTTTTTTACCATACGTAAGAAACACTTGCAATCTCTCAATCACTTGTCATATTCATCACCTTCTGTCAAGTCGTACACCATCAGCACGTCCACTTCTGTTGATGTTTTACAGCGACCCCTGACGATTAACCTCCTGTTATGAATTTACTGTAAAGTTGTAATGAGTCCCATACACTGATTATTCCGTTTTGGCGAAGAAACCAGTCACACGGATACATATCGGCTAAGTATAACAATTCCAGGACATCCTTATCGCCACCGTCGCAGGAGATCCGTAACCGTGTCCTATTATATAACACTGCGTGCTGTCATGTAGGATGATGGCGTTCGTCACTTGAGACATCATGTGCGAAACGTCTTCAAGGGAAAATTGACGGCAGATTGTTTGACAAATCCCTTTGCCTTCCATTTTCTGGGTATCATAATGAGAACGCCGTCACGGATCTCCTGCCACAATAGCAATGGGAAGTACAGTAATTCCCAATATACTCATCCTACCTGAGAGTCCGTGAGGGATCCCATTACGAGTAGAGAGGAGTTTATCCGTGCTTTATGGCGGTCATCATGAAGCATCAGCAGAAGTCGCCATGTTGATGGTGTAGGACGTCTTCCATTAACTTGGCAGAAGGTGATATACATGGGAAGCGATTATATTGAAAGACTGTAAGTTTTATATCTATGATGATGATAGTGTTGTTTCAGAATTATTAACGCAATGCCACCATTTTTTTATCTAATTTATGTAACAAGTAGAGATCACATATTTTACTGAAAATTTCGTATGAATAATGTAAAATTTTTCTTTTTACCATGTCCGAAGCATTCGACCCACTAGTTTTCATATGTAAATGATCCATCATAGCTTGAAGACGGTTTTTTTCTTTATTCAGCTGCATTTCTAGCTGTGAAACCACTTGCATTTGTACGCGGGCTTGAGCGGTACTTCGGTCATCTAACTGGTGTTCTACGTTCAGATGCCTAAATAAAGAAGAAAGAAAGAAATAAGAAAAAGTTTGAAATAACTTTTTAGAAGAGACAATTTTTCGCGTTTGTTCCTTTCAGTTAGGAACGAAATTATAATTTCGTATAAAAACCTTGTAAACAAATATTATAAATCTTTATTTATAACAATAAATGTGAACACACAGCTCTAAATATCACGGCAGAGTTAATCAAATGTTTATAGCTGTTTTGGTTCTTAAATTTAAGGAAAATTGGGCATTCACCGGTTCCTTCGTTAAAAGCATAATTATTAAAAACATTTAATTTTTGAGTTTACATATGTTTCTCAGACTATTTTCAGTACCATTTTTGTTTTAGATAATAGTTTCTTTTTAATTGACTTTAATGGACAGTTAGTCATGTTTTCTTTTCATTAGCTTCTGATAACTGATAGACTGATTTCAAATTTTTTTCCAGCCGCAACTAACTGGAAATGAAATCTGCTGAATCATATTCATTGCGCAAATACTTGACCAAAACAAAGTTTTCCAGTTTTGCAATTGAGTTTTATTTGAAACTGAGACTGAATTAGATATCGATAATTTCTCCTCTAAATTTGCTTAAAATTTTACATTCGAATACGAGACAAAACTGAGATGGTTTCATGCTATGCTTAAGGATATCAATTTCAGTTCTTACCAAAGCTGCACCATGAAATTTATAAATGGTTCCCTTAAAAATTTGTTTATTGCAGTGACTTTTACTAAGAAATAAAAAATTGGAAGCTACATTTAGCAAATATTAGTTTAAATAAAAAAGACGAAATAGTAATAATTAAGTTATTCAATTACACACTGAATACCAGAAAGTGTTCACATTGCAACATTACATTAACTAACGACTTACTAGGAATGAAGTCTACTGCTAGCAGAGTGCATAAGATTGGTATTTCGTTCCAAATTCGTTTCTCGGCGACCGAAAGTATGTATGGCAATGGTCTCAGACTGAAATTGCATGCCGGCCGGATACACGATCTGAAAACAGGTATGCATGTTTCCTCCCTTGCATAATAATATTAGCACAAGCCAGTTTCTATTAGAAGGTCCTCCATTAAGACATCTCTCTTTTTAGCTAGAGAGCAATCTCATATTTGTTGGAACTAAGTAACAAAATCCAAATAATTATGAAAGGACTTCTTTGATAATTTGAATGCGATTCGTCTTACTTTAAGAATACAAATTATTTCTCCGCATCCTTCTTTCTGATATCGAAAAAAAATGTTCGTAGCGTGGTTAGCTGCCGGCTACCAAATGTCTGGGCCTGTGTTCGAATTTCAAAGAAAGCAAGGAAGTTTGCTGTTTTCTGCCTTTTTTTCTCAAGGAATCCGTTTCCCACCTGTGCAGCACCCTTTAATGTTCTTGGTAATAAGACTCTAAATGACTGACGTGTTTGTACACTACCTGCCAGTTCTTAACAAGCAAGTGCCCAACCTATGAGAAGGAAAAAAAAACTATAAGAAATGTCTTGCCGAAAAGAAATCACTTGTCAATAATACTGTTCAGCAGCAAAATCCTCTTTATGAAATGGAGGATTACTCTGCAAAATTTTGATTTCAGTTGATCCAATACTGGCCTTACAAATTCTGTCTCGCCACCATTTTTTAAGGAGCATGTTGTTTTGTTGGATGAGGGAGAGTAATATATAAGCTAAAAAATCGAAATTTAATGAGTGTGTAATTATATGACTAAAAAATATAAAGATCAACTCACCTAAAATAACTTTAAAGGAAGCTCTTAGTATACACCGGTGTGCAAAAATTAAGGACGAGACGGTTTTTTCAATATAACTTTGTACAAAAGTTTTCCAAATCAACACATTTAATACCGTAAGATCCCCAATACGTAAGGACATGAGTAATGTAACCAACACTTACTAAAAGAGAAATCAGAGGGATAAAAAAGAAGCTTATTGAAAAACGTAGCATGGAGCGCAATGCTAATGAAGGCCGAAACATCCCTGTGATGGGTGTCCAAGAAGAAACATCCGGTCTTTAATAGGGGATATGGTCTCCATGACTGCTAGGCAGGTTTCACAGCGTCTGCCATGCTGAGAATGAGGGTGTCAATGAGTTGTTGAGGCATTGCTGCCCATTCGTCTTGCAGCGCCAATCGAAGCTCCGGAATCGTTACTGGTGGTAAGATACGAGCTGCCAAGCGTCTGCCTTGAAAATCTCATACATGTTCGATGGGATTGAGATCCGGAGATCGTGCCGGCCAATCCATACGTTCAATATCCTCACTCTCTAACAGCTGTTCAGCAGCTACTGTGCGATGACATGTTGCATTATCGTCCATGAAAAGGAACTGCGGACCCATAGCGCCTCTAAAAAGACGCACATATGGAAGAAGAATCTCGTTACAATAACGGGTCCCGTTGACTGAACCTGCGTCGAAGATGCGAAGGTCTGTACGACTACCAAGCATGATGCCTCCCCAAACGAGAACACCGCCACCTCCCATACCTGTCCCTTTCAATGATGTTCGAGGGATGATTGCGGCTTCCCCGCTCTCTCCAGATGAGTATGCGATGAGAATCGCTACTCAGACTGAATCTGCTCTCATCTGTAAAGAGTACTCGTCCCCCATTCATTGTCTCTCCAATTCCGGTGTTCCCGGCACCACAGAGAACGCCTTCTCCGATGGGCAGGCGTTAGAGGTACACACTGTACAGGGCGTCGTGCAAACAGACTACCACCGTGCAGTCTTGTGGCTACGGTAAAACGCGATATCGGTCGTCCAGTCGCCTGTGTCGTGTGTCTAGCGATTTCTCCCGCTGTCTCCCGCCTGTTTCTTCTGGCCTGTAAGGCAATATACTGGTCATCTGCGGGTGTGGTTCCTCGTGGACGACCACTACTAAACCCCTGGATAGCTGTTCCTGTAGTTTGAAATTGTCTCCAAAGTCGTGAAACGATGCTGTGAGCAATTCCGAACTCTGCAGCCACACTTGTCACACTGCGGCCTTCCTCCAACTTCCCAATGATTCGACCTCGGGTAAAGCATCCAGATGTCGTCTAAAAGATTGATTATTCGCCATTTCTCGCTGAGGCAGCAACTCGGTGTGATTTTAACTGCTATACGGCGTGCAATCTCTTTGCCAGAAATACTGATCTTACACCGACAACATGCTTTATACTACTCAGACACTCCTCCATTACGTCTACCTGCATATATGCGCATGTCCTACCGTACATCACCTTACTTAATCTCCTGATTGGTCTTTTTGTCCGCTCTGCCTCTTCGTTCAGCTGATATGCTAATTTTTCTACTTCGTCCTTAATTTTTGCACACCAGTGTATTTCCTCCTATTCCTGAAGTAGATTGGAAGACTCTAATGAAAAATTGTGGGATTTTTCCCAAATGCACTAAATGGAGAAATTATTGCACTATACACACCTTGTTAGGAGCATGTTGGTTCACCTTTATCTCGAATAATGGCACTTATATGCTTTGGAAGCAATTCAGTAGCGTATTTGAACCGAAATGGTAGCATTTCTCCCAATATTCCGTAACTGCCTGTTGCAAATACTTCATAGAATATGGCCGTGAATCACGAGCTTGAAAAGAATATTCCATCACCACCATAAGATTCTTAGTGGGATTGTATTTGATGATTTGATAGGGAAATCAATTGATTTAAATTTATTGAAATGCTCTTGCAATCAAGATTGGTTGAAAAATCATACAATAAAGATTAATTGCCAATCTCTGGAATGGGATTGGGAATTATCCTGCTAGAAAGTAGCATTACTATTCAGGAAGGATATGCTAATAAACATGAGCAATGATAAGCGAATATGATAACATATCCTGAAACTATAAGAAATTCTTCCAGAGATATGAAGGGTCCTAGAAATCGATGTAAACGCTTCCCAGAATTTACACTACTGCCTCGTACCACTACTGCCATGTTTACACTACTGCCTGTAGAATACCAGTCTGGCATAAAGGATGCAATGCTTCATGAAGTTTTCGCAACACAAGCACTCTGCCAAAAGCATGACGCACTTGGTGCTTTGATTCATTTAACGAAATGTCACGCTTGCAAAAATTTCTTATAGTCCAGTGGTGGAGAAAACTTGCAGACTTCACCCTCAAAACTATGTATCCTTGAATCTGTATTGGAGAATGCAGAGAAGTCTTTGGCTTTTAAATTTAGCCTTAGCCATACTTCAACAAATAGATTTTGTGCATTAGCTTGCAAAACATTTTCGTTAAAATCTGTAGTAATCTCCTGCGCTGCGTGTCCTTTTCTCTCAAGAATCTAATGTTGGTTTTTCCGTTGCTTTCCTTACAAACGTTTTATAGAATTTTGCATACTACTGGTACACTGTTATTACGGTATTATACGAAATGCATATAAGTTTGATAATCCCTGAAATCTAATAATCCAGTCTTGAAAACACTTACAGTTTGACGGCAATCAAAATCATTTAAATTGGTACCTTTATATATGATAGGTATCTCTCATTTTATTATCGAAGTTTTGATACATATCTCTTCACAAGTAAGCTAACGTGTCTTCAACTTTCTTGAATGTACCTACTTTTGTTTATCTGTTCCCAACAAACTATGTACAACAATTTTTACTCTCAATTATAGTACCTAATGAAGATCGTTTGTGGAATCTCTGTGCTGATCTCATGGCTTTGCCATAACTGATATCTTCTGTAAATAGACTTTACTAAATATTTTTTCATTAAAATAAGGAGTAAACAACAACTACATCATAAAAAAATTGCTCTTTAAGTGAAAGTATTATGACTACCGAGAAATATATTATGCGTGAAACCTCAGTGAACCTAGACTGATTTCTGTCAGCTTCATCTAAACCTGGGCCTCATTAAACTATTTGCTAAAACTACATGCAGAAATAGTATTAATTGTCATCAATTATTTTGGCACATGTGAGTTTATTTCCCGCATTATCTTAAAACTAGTGGCTTTTAATGAAGACGAAATCCCTTATTAGGATTCGTCAATATGAAATCTAAAAAACACCCCGAAAATTATAGTGAGTGAAAAGAGATTTTAAAATCAGAACAGTTTAATAATGATTCCACGAAACGATCTGAAAATTATACATACTCGTTCAAATACGTTGCAGCCCAGCTTGTGGTCGAAACATAATATTCTGTATTTAGGAAATTTAAAGATATTTGATATATGTACTAACCTTTTATATACGTACTAACCTTTGTCGCTAGTGAAAGGGTCTCCAAAGTTGCATCAGACTGAGTTTGTAATGTAAAACACAAAATAAAATACACATCTGAAGGCGAATTTAATGATCACATAATGACACCACTTTTGATTTTATCAAAAGTGGCTTGTTTTCATCACTTTAATTTTGGTCGAGTTTTAAAAATTAATTTGTGAATGATTTACTCACCCTTTAATAAGTTGTATAACTAAAATCCTTAATGGAATGTTGCACTTAAGAACTAAAAAGTGTTAAAACACTCATTCTCACAAATTGTTTTACAGTTTGCTCTTCGATTATGGAGTAAATATTTTGTATCTGCTTTAAAATGTTCTAAAGAGTGCATAGCTCTCATTAAGGTTAATTAGGGAATATTATTATTGAAATAAAAATTGTTTTCTCGGGCCACTTAAGAATTTGTAAATCTTCGACAGTTGCTTACTTGAGAAAGTCCTGATAATCATCGCAGAATGTTTCACATCCGGGCCATTTACAGACTCCATGTCCGTAAAGTAGATGGGTGGGAGGTTCTTCTTTCGGAGTTGCAGTTCTACGATTAGATGGTGGAGTCAATGATGGTGACCCCACATTTTGTTGTCCGTTTTGTTGTTGAGACGTTGAGGCGGGAGTGAGATGGTTTCCATTTGTTATGTTTAGCTCTTCATTCCCCTTCCATGATGTCACAACCGAGTCAATTTTCTCACCTACAGAAGAAAAGGATATTGTGCACTCCATCCCCAGTTCTAGCCGAGCTAAACTTGTCTGCATGCAAGAAATTTCACGAAATATAAAATTTGATCCTAATGTTAAATTTTAATCTTAATTTCTCGGTTAGGAGACATCCTAATTCTAGAACTAAATGCATTTATGGATAGGGTCAAAAAGTAAATTTCTTTCAGGGCAATGACTGCACCTAAGAGCTGCTTTTCATCAGATCAGATTTTGTATCCAACTAAACTTAAATAACATTTTAGAATATTACCTCTAATTTATCATCGCTTGTTGCTGAATGAAACAGCTTAAGTTTTGAGAGACATGATTTATTTTTTCTCCGAAATTTGGAACTATTGAAATAATTAGAAAAACTGGCAAAAAGCAGGGTTTAATATAATTAAATATAAAAATGACTTCTCACTTCCTTTGGATACTTATTATTTGATGCAAGTTTATAATTTGTTAAAAAACAAAAATTTGTTTTAGAATGTTATTTTTTTCTTGGTAGCATTGAATAAAAGGTATTCGATCTTTAAATGTATTGCTTTTCGTATAGGGAAACATCACGTATTATTATGATAATTTAACTTTTAACTTAATATACAATATTGATTCAAAATTTAGATCTTAAACATATATATACATATATATTACACGATTATTAAGATGTGATGTGATTTACAGTGTCTGATAAAGGTAGTCAGATGATTCTGTTATGAAAAACGCAATTTATACTTCTGAAAGTAATGTCAAAAATTCAGTGTACACTTTTTTAAAGATTATTGCTTCTCCAAAGAAATATCTTCTCAAATCCTCAGGGATGTGAGATGCTTATCGCATCCGATCCAATGAAAAATTCCTGATTATGTGTAAATGTATCCTTAGCATTTACAGCAATTAAATGATTGCGCCTGTCTCCAAAATTCTTCGGCGTACATGCTGCTGTTACTTTCAAGGTTTATAATAATATTACAGCAATTGAAGCTTCAATGAAGAAGATTTTGCTCCTTACCTTCATCAACACAGGCATAAAATGTGTCCTTAATAGAGATTTTTATAAGCAAATCGCTTACCTTTTTCTTCAAAGTGTAAATGGAGATGATCATCAAAAGCAGAAAGACTTTAATACTGAATTGAGAAACGATTCTGCGTTAATTATAAACATGCTAACTCACAAACAACCTGTACCAAACTCTTCTAAGTTTTGAGCATGTTAATTATAAAAATGGTACAGCTTTAATTCTGGAATAAAAAAATAAAAACTGAAAGTGAAAGAAAGGAAGAGAGAGAGCACTTCCAAAGAGAAACAGGCTTTAATGAACTTCTAAAAGCTAAGGCTCATATACTGTGTTATATACTATCAGAGGCTTATAACCTGTAAAAAATTGAAGAGAAATCTTGTATGCCTTCCTAATGAATAATCAAAAGATCAGCATGTAATACTTTATTATAGGCCACATCTTACAGGGCGGATTTTCCAATCAACATACTTCATTCATACCTTTTGAAATAACATAGTGTTGATCGAAAGAATCGATAACCAATACCTCTTTCTAAATGGAAAGCTTATTAAGGAGGTGCTTATTAATACTATGCTAATTAAAATCAGGATGCAGTAAGCATACTCGCTAATGAAATAGTACTTAAATCTTTATTCTTTGGAGATGGAATAGTATTTTTTATTCAAGAAATATTTATAAGTTTTGTAAAACGTGTGTAAAACATATGTTAAATTTCTTTAACAGCAAAATGGATGAGTACCTTCTATTGGATATAACATGAAGATATGAAAAACATCCTTTTCATATGTAAATTTTCAGCTAAATGAAGAAAAAATTATGATTCTACTACTGCTCGAACAGTGGAAGTTGAGAATTGTTTTAAATACATTATACAATTTCACGTTTCCGCGTCAACAAATAAATTTAAAAAAAGACTTTAGTTTCCTAGAAACTAATCTCAGATAACTTACTTCTTAATTTATGAAACCCAATGCAATTGCCAGTAGGTTTGAGAATTAAAAGTGTTTAAGTGCAGTCATTTACCCTTGAAATCAGAATAGTACATAAAAATTAGATTTTTAAGGATTATTAGTTGAATTGTAATTAAAAGGAAAACTTTTAAACAGATTTTAATCTTCATGAATTCAGAATTTTAGTCTGTATCTTAAATAATTTTGTCAAAATATCATAAAAAATATGGAAATTAGTAAAAGAAATTATTATGCTATCAACCTTGGATAGAGGTATTGTAGGGGTTGGCAGCCATGAGGTACTGTGTGTGAGTCTGTTGCATTTGCTGGATCAGCTGGCGCTGTTCCGTTGAAAGTTGCTGCAACTGTGCCTGCAACTGATGTCGCGCGCCTTTCTCTGACGACAGTTCCATCGGAAGATTTGTAAGCTGCTGTAGGACTTGATTCTGTTGCATCATATTCATTTGGATCTGTTCTTGTAAATGAGGGATAAAAGATTCCAGTTGCTTTAGCTGCTGTTGATGCTGCTGCTAAGAAGAAAATACTACATTACTATACCTGGAATTAAAGAATCTTTCAGGATTCTAAAATATATAACATTAAAAACAACTTAAAATACAAGCATTGCCTCATAGTCACACATTAAAATAAACATTTTATCAGAAAATATAAGATAAAAAAATTCCATAACGAATATTTTGACAGCTTTCGCGTGCTTTGCCATACTGGATTAAAGAAACACGTTATTTCTACCAAGCGGATATTACTCGACATAAACAGCTTTGAATGAACGTTTCTAAATAAGAATTTTCTGGAACAGAATTAACTTGAATCAAAACACATTTTGACGGTATTTTCGCTAGTATCTGATTTCAAGTGAAATATATTTAAGAACTAGCCTAGGCATATAGCATACGAAGCATGAAATCACTTCATTAATTTCAGAAATCTGATAATTTTTAATAGTTACTACATTAAACCTTAACAGTAATTTATTTTGTGATGAAAGAATATCAAAATGATTAGCTTACGAAAACATTTGGATTCGGAGATTCTACTATTCTTTGTTAATAAAATAAGAATAGTGCAATAAATATTATTTTAATAATGCGTGTGCAGTTATTAAAAGTACGCAATGAGTTTGTGGTTTAGTCTGAGAGAGAGAGAGGAGTTCTGGTACCTGAAAACTTTGCATATTTAGGTAATTTAGCTTATTCTTAAAACAAGAGGTGAAGAAGTTCACATCATGTTTGCTTAAATTTCTTCTTTGCTGGCGACTTCATCTCTGATATATCTCATTTCTTTATATTACTTTCAGAGACAAATTGATTCTTACGTAATCTAGGTGTTGAGTTACGTTTCAGATTTAGTTTAGATAACAAACAAAATACATTCCAGGTGTTTAAGATTATTATCCTTTTTTGATTGCAACTTTAATACCCTGACACCTATTTATTCACAGAAAATTTTATTCATGACAATTTTATTTCTAAAACTTCAAAAGTATTTGGTAAATACTGTTTTGTTATTGATTTTAAATATGTTACATTCGCATTTCAATTATTCAGTTAGTTAATAGAACTTACACGAGTTTAGTATCCTTATATATTGTTGTAGACAAGTGCTTCAAATTGCTATAAATTAAAATAGCTAGCTTTACGGGGAAAATTTCAAACAATATGGAGAGAGCGCTATAACTAAAAGATCTAACTTTTTTATGGCCCTTAAAATGCAAAATATAAGATTTGCAAAATGTTCAGTATGCTTTTATGAGCAAAATATACTTTCATGTGCAAAATCCATAATAAGATAAGAGAGTATATGGGAGTAGTTTCTCATCCTTTGATCTAAAACTTTTTAATTCTATTTCTAAGTCTGTACTGAAAAACATTTATTGCTTCAAAAAATCAACCATCTGGCAAGTTTAAATAAAAGCACACTGGAGAAAATCTGTGTATTATTAGAAAAATATATACGAAAATTCCTGCTCATGTGAAATGGGAACCTAAACACGAAAAAATGTAGAGAAAAGCAAAGTACAAACAGCTGCTGAAGAAGCATTGTTGAAATGGTATATATATATATATACTAATTTCCGATCAATTAACAATAATTAATAGATGCAAAAGTATTTCGTCTTTTTCTCAAGTAAGAATCAAGATTAAAACAGCTGTACAGTAAGATTAATTTAAAATTATTTAAACTGCTAATTAAGAAGCAGTAAGAAATAGGAGGTTTTGTTTAATTTGAAAATTCAATCTTCAAATCGTAATATGTAATTACTATAAGAGTGAGTTGTATTTCCTTACTTGAGAAAATTGCCTTTAATCATAATAAAACGATGCAAACTTTGTTAAAAAATAAAACAATGAAGAACTAGTGCACAGAAATGTATAATCAAAAGACTAAAATGAAACATTGAAAATTAATGAAATAAAGAAAATTTTAGAAATGCAGAAAATTTACGTAATATATATATATATATATATAAACACACACATTGACCTTGACGGAAAACCTGAATTCTGAAAATCATGCTTAGTAATTAATATCGTATAAATATTACAATGTGATGAATCTGAAAAGCATGAAATTTTAATTTATATTTTTTGTAATTAAAACTTTACACGAATTCAAATTAAGAACATCCTTCACAGCTCTTGACAGTTGCAACAATGCTAATACTTTTTTTCTTCTTTCTAGTACTCATAAACCAGTTCACACGGTTTGTGTGAGATCATTCATATTTCTTAATGCATTTAGTTCAGTGGACACCGGGTAGAGTGAGCCGAAAAAGTCGGTCTCTTGAAGATTCTGCTGCGAAGTTTGATTATGGTTAATGAATTTTGTAAGCGAAAGATCTATAAAGGTACTTACTTGTTGTCTTTGGTAATACAGCGCTTGCTGCTGCAGGAACTGTTGTATCTGAGCAGGGGAAAGGAACTGCTGCATCTGGACTTGATGAGGTATCATTAGAAGTTGAGCAGAGCTTAAAGATGATGTTTCAGAGACGGTGTCAGTGCCTCGGCCCACGGCTTTGCTCTGGAAATAATGCATCGCTATAGAAATTTCACTAAAATAGCATTCCTTTTGTTTTCTCGTCAAGAAAAATATTTATCCAGAAAACTCCAAGTATAGCGATTTGGATCAATTTTAATTCTTCAAATATAGCTCGCTTGGTTAAATACTCGTAAAACAACAACTATTTATTTCTAATTGACATCTATGTTTAGATGTATCATGCACGGCGATCAATAATTATAAAAATCTGTTCGCTTTCAATAAATATTCTTGAGTCTAAAAATTAAGAACAAATTCAAATGCTGTAAGGATCTTAAAGTTTGATTAACGTTTATTTTGCTTTAAAACTTTACTGTCCTCTCTTATTTTTCCACTTACGGCCAGAATAAACGCATTAAATTGTTTATACAAATTGTACTTGCTAACGCTTAAGTATTTAAGTTGTGGCTTTTCGCCACAAACAGAATTATATGGAGAGAAGGTAAGCCTCCTTGCCACTGTGTTCCACGCGAGCTTCAATCAGTTGCTGTCCGCCTTTAAGGCCAGAGGTTTAGTCCTCTCGATATTTAAAACATATTGTAGTTTTCCGCAAGTTGCGCTCTACATACGGAATAAACTAAAAGGGAAACCTTAATGTTAGTCATCTGCATAAAGTATTCGAAGTAAGCTCTTATTTAAATTTAGTTAGTAGTTCTTATATTTTTACGTTCAGACCACAAGTGGTTGGTCTTTGTATCCGGAAGTGAGGGAGCGCCTGTAATATCGTGGAGAATAAAGAGTAGTTAAACCCTTCGCAACTTAGTCATCTATTTTACAATTCCACACAATGTAGCTTCCAGTAAGCTCACTGTTCCCATTCAGGACACATCATGTTCGCAAAGTAGATAAGGAGGAATATAGTACTGATAATGCAAATATTTAAATTTATGTCTAATGTAAGATATGAACAGAGATAAGTCTCAGAAGCCTTGTTCTAAAATATAATACACCCCGTTGCAATGAATATATGCATCCAGAAAGAACCGAGTCTCAGCTACGAAACTCGTCAGGAGTATAGTGTGTAGATAAACAAATGATAAAAAATTGGGGTGAAAAAAGCGTTTTAATTACGAGCAAGTATTATAAAAAATGTGAAAAATCCACCTACTGATTATAGAAGCCGGTACTCGGTTGGGCAGGGGGTCTATTAAGTAGCCTAGTGTTCTTCTGCGGTAGACTGTGCCCCAAATGGAGCAACTAGTCAGCGAATTGGGACGTATTTGTACACGACTGAATTTGCCTGCCTAACATATCTCAAACATAGGCGACAGCTCTGGAGACCTGGCAGGCTACTCGAGAACGTTAACACGTCATTATTCATGCGTTGTTCGAGCGTTTTCTTGCTGGAAAAGACAAATCCGATGACCTGCTAGCATAGGTAGTGCGATCGGCTGCAAAATGTAGTCAACGCACTTCGCAGCGCACTTAATGTTAAACTGCTGGCCCAACTGATCGTTCCCCAGACTGTCACACCCTGTGTTCTGGCTGTGGACCGCTGAGTAAGAAATAGTATACCAATTCGCCTGTTCAACCAACCGGCTTTTATTAGTCCTATGACGCGACCCCTCTGAAACTGTGACGACTATTCGTAACGTCATCGAACGTCTTAAAGACATCTTTCATTACAGTGTCATGTATAAAAGCCATTAATGTGGTTGTAAATACTGGACACTCGCCGCACCTGCGCTTTTACATTATACGCACTTAAGACGTTCATCATATCGCTCCGCAGAGCTGAATGGTGCTGCATGTTTAATCATTTACACAACTCGCCAAGCCACATTTGCATGCCGCGTTTCGTTGTAACTGTGGATCAATTTTTTTTCTGGGTGCATATACTTAATTGAGTGCATTTATAAGGCTTCCACAAGATTTGAGTCGAAATCTGGATTGTCAATGGGTTTCACAGAAGAGTTATAGCTTCCGATTAAGAGCTAAAGGGGAACAAAGGAATGGTAGCTGCAGATGAAGAGATAAAGGGATTCAGTAACCAATTAGAACAAAACTGCATTCAACTAAAAGCAGAAATAGAAAACGAGTAGTACCACCCTTGATCAACATTTCTCATCATCAGCAAACACCTTTTCTACGGGTTCAACAACAGGCGAATGGATAAGTTTGCTATACATTGGTAGCTCGCCCGGGTTCAATTCGCAACGGAACGTTTGGCTTCATCGCGATTTCAGGCGTGTACGTTTAGAGATTTTCAGGATATAATGTGATGATAATAAAATAAACAGCGGCTTTGATTTTAAAAGTGTGGAGGAAGTGTAGCAAACTTTTGTCGCAGATGCTCTTCCTGCAAAATAATTCCAATAAAATAGGTAATGGTGTGTTTAACCCTTCGTGGTTGCGAGATTAAGCAATTCTTTCTTTCCAAATACGCGAGATGTCTGTTAGTCGTAATGCGAGCTGTTTCATTTGCTTCCACTGCAGTGCGTAACTGGAATACGAGCAGAGCTCTTTCATGATTATCAAAAGCTTAAAGGGCAGGGCCATTTACACAAAGATTATTAATTCTGGTTATTTTTATACAGAGAATATTCCCTCAAGGAAAATTCACATTGAAAATCTGAATCGAAAACTGATTTACGATTATTCAATCAATAAATAAAACAAATAATGTTAATTCTCAAAGTTTTATGTTAATTAATTCATGTATCTTACAGTGTGCCTGCACTTTCATTTCTGTTTTCATGAACTCTTTCCAGAACTCAAAGTAGTTAAATTTAAATAAGAGCAGAGCTCTTGATTTGGGAGACAAAGAACTCTATGGTATCATTGGCTGACTCTCTCTCTGCTGCACTTCCTTCCTGGCTGATTTTTAAAATGGGTTTAGCTTTACCAAGCCGCTTTTGCTTCGTGAATTTGTACTTTCCCATTCAGTTAGGTTTGAATGCATGAACTTAATTGCTCACAGGTTGCAGAGTTTTGTTTATGTAAACCATCATATTGACGTCTTATTAAACAAGTTTTATTTTAAAGCTTCACCTTGCGATTCTTGCGTTTAAAGGGTAGACAAAACGATAAGCTTTTACGGTTGTAGCAGTTTGGTGCTTTAAATATCAGAGAATCATATAAATCTAATATATTTATTGCGGCTTAAATCTAATATATACTATACAATGATTCTGTCAATGCAACCAAGTACTATTGTGCTGTTTAAATTGGACAAATAAAAATGTATTGCACCATCATTTTAAATAAACAGTCCAGTTATTATTTTCCATGTCTCTATTGATCTTTATACTAATCATAACCCTCAATTATGATCGAAAGTTTCTGTTTTCATATCTGTATTTGTGTTACACTTCGACTAGAATTTTGCATGTTTACACATGCTTTGTACGAATATTCCCAGGGTAAATATTATCTATGTAAATATATACCTCTTTAAAATCCCTCTTTAAATATTCTTTGTGTAAATGTTATTTATATTAATATATCTGAAAATTTGCATCTTTGAAAACAAACGCACATTCTTATTTATTTTTTTTCGAACCATTAATCTTAATTGTGTCATTAGCCATAAGTATTTCAGTACTCCTATTCCTTCTGTTATTAGCCGTAAAGGTATTCAGTGCTCCTATATTTCTAGTTATTTACTCCGTTGTTAACATATTTTCGAATTTTCCTTCCAAGCTCATCCGGAATAAGATCTATATGTGCTTAATACTTGTCTTCAAAAATCCAGTATTAATATATATTTTTCCTGTAACTACAAAGTTACAAATGTAATTTACCAAAAGTATCTTTCTTAAACTAAATAATTTCCTCTAATATAAAAAATCGATATAAAACATTTTAAATCATAGTGTAAAGAATACTTAAACTCATAACTAAGAAGTATTTTTTAAATGAAATTACGCTTTCCCTACTGGTCCCTTTATCTAAAATTAATTCAAAAACGGAATGTAAAATAACCAAATAAAATTTTGAAGTTTTATCTATTGCTAATAAAGACAATGCCAATAAAAATTTAATAAAATGCAATTTAATTAACAACCATAAAAACAGAAAATTTCAGCTTTTAAAAATCTGTTTTCACCCTTTTACTAGGTTTACGGCGAAATCGAGATAATCCCCTTAGATTTCAGTTTTGTTCGCTGTAAATGTAAAACTCTGACTAATTTCGATTTTTTTTTTTTTTTTAAATGCAAAAGGTTTCATAAGATTTTTGCAACATCCTTAGTTTCGTTGTCAAATCTATTTCTTTTATTCTGAAGTTTATTGCACATGCACCGAAGTATCAGTCAAAGAATAAATCAGTATTTCATAATGATGCTATAAAATGGTAATTTGCTACTTTGCTTAATTTTTTAGGCAACAATTCTTACCAAATTCCAATAACTCTTCTTCGTAAAAGTAAAGAGCTTCTAGCAAAAAAAAAAAAAAAAAAAAAAAAAAAAAAAAAAAAAAAAAAAAAAAAAAATAAAAAAAAAAAAAAAAAAAAAAAAAAAAAAAAAAAAAACTTTTATAGTTCAACAATTTAAAAATTATGCACATTATTTCTTATTTATTTTATTGCAAAGAGCTTAGCATTAAAACAGAAAGTAACTTTCGAATTGTTTATTACGCTGCTACGTAAGACAAAGATTTCTGTTGAAGAATGTTTTGTGTAGATTTTCAATAACTCTTATAAAAAGTGTCTACTATTCACGAAGTAATAATATAAATAATTAGTACGCTACCTAAATATGTTTTATATTGCATATGTTTTTGAATTCTCATTAAAAATAACAATTAAATTCTGGAAGCGTTGACACACTGCTATGTAAGATCAAAATTTCTGTTGCATCGAATGATATTTTACGTGGATTTACACTAACATTTATAAAACACGTCTATTAGACACCAAGAAATGATATAAACAATTAATACAAAACTAAATTATTATATAGCACAGCTGTTTAAACACTTATTAGAAAGACAAACCTCTAGAAATACTATCACGTTGCTACGTAAGATCATGATCTCTGTTA